TAGCTTTGGAATTCTAAATTTGTAATTTGTGTTAGATTTAATTTTCTTTTATTTTTCTTGTAAAAGGTCATTTCAAACCAAGTGTTTGGAAGAGTCCTTGATGTAGTTGTAAGCATAAAAAACCATATATTCTTGAACATATCATCCTTGATGTACCAAACTAATATCATCATTCATTTTGAACATAAGCATTTTTTCTAGTTGTACAAAACCAACTTCAAAAATAATCACATCAGAATAAGTACATAACGAGTTACTGCACCAATAAATGTGATAAAATTTATCTTCAAGAACCACTAGATTTGTTCTACATAATGATTTTAGTTGTATAGAATCAACTTCAAAAATAACCACATATGAATGAGTACATAACCAGTTACTGCACCAATAAATGTGATGAAATTTATCCTCAAGAACCACTATATTTGTTTTACATAATGAGTTTCATACTAGACCACAAACCCTTGATTGGATAACCACTTATTGGACTAACTAATATGATCCTTCATATTCAATTTAAGCATTTTTGTAGATGTATATAAACAACTTAAGAAATAACCTCATACAATTGAGTACATAACCACTTACTACACCAATAAATATGATAAAATTTATCTTCAAGAAGTAGTAGATTTGTTGTATATAATGACTTTCATACTACACCACATACCCTTGATTGGATAACCAGTTACTGCATCAAACTCATTTGATCCTTCATATTGAACTTAAGCAGTTTTTTAGTTGTTCAAAACCAGATTAAAAAATAACCACATACGAATGAGTATATAACCAGTAATTGCACCAATAAATGTGGTGAAATTTATCCTCAAGAACCCCTAGATTTCTTCTACACAAGGAGTTTGATACTACACCACATATCCTTGATTGGATAACCACTAACTACACCAAACTCATTTCATCCTTCATATTGAACTTAAGCAGTTTTTTTAGCTCTACAAAACCAGCTTTAGAAATAACCACATACGAATGAGTACATAATCAGTTACTGCACCAATAAATGTGATGAAATTTATCCTCAAGAACCCCTAGATTTTTTATACATAAGGAGTTTTGATACTTCACCACATACCCTTGATTGGATAACCACTTACTGCACCAAACTCATTTGATCCTTCATATTGAACTTAACAGTTTTTTAGTTGTACACAACCAGCTTCAAAAATAACTACATAGGAATAAGCACATAACCAGTTACTGCACCAATAAATGCGATGAAATTTATCCTCAAGAACCACTATATTTGTTCTACATAACAAGTTTCATACAAGACCATAAACCCTTAATTTGGATAACCACTTACTTGACTAGCTAATATGATCCTTCATATTCAACTCAAGCATTTTTGTAGATGTACAACTTAAGAAATTATCAAATAGGATTGAGTAAATAGCTAGTTACTGCACCAATAAATATGGTGAAATATATCGTCAAGAACAACTACATTTGTTGTATATAACGACTTCCATACTACACATACCCTTGATTGGATAACCACTTACTACATCAAAAGTAATATGATCATTTATATTGAACTTAAGCATTTTTTTTATTCGTACATAACTAGCTTTGGAAATAACCACATAGGACTTAAGACATAACCAGTTACTGCACCAAAACTTGTGAAATCAGTTTTTGACCTACACTTGTGTAATTTGTGTTTCATTTGTGCAAGATGCACATAATTATTTGCTTTAGTCATTCTACTTTGGTGTGATATGATTTAAGTCTAATTCAAGTGCAAGATTGGATGACCGCTTATTTTTTATTAATGATTTCGTCAGTTGTACAGAACTTGTTTAATTCATAACCACATATTGCTCAAGGTATAACCAGTTACTGCACCATATTGACGGAAATTAGGGTTTCTACTGTTTGGAGGAGATGATGATGTGTCAAGGGTTATTGAACAATTTAACATTTTAGTCAACTGACTTAAGGAAATTAAATTAAAAGGACAATTAGGGACAAAAAGGACTGAGTTGAGATTGAGGGAGGGAGACAAAGAAACATGACCGACTCCTTTGGAAGAAGTTTTAGATCCATTTGCAACGGTTATGAAATGAGGTTTTTCTCGAAAGGAAAAAGATGAGAACAAAGAGCTATTACCAGAAATGTGATCAGAAGCACCTGAGTCAATTACCCATGAATTTTGACCTTTCATAGATTGAGAAAGATGTATTGGGAGATTGAGATGGTTGTGCCAAGCTGTTAGACTTTAACTTTAAATACTCTTGATATTCATCCTCATAAAACATAGAAGTGGAAGTTTCAGTCTTTGAAATATTGGCGGTTTTGGAAGGGAAACCATGTAAGGAGTAGCAATTCTCTTGAGTATGACCCATCCTTTTACAGTATGTGCATTGAGGACGTCCCCGACCTCCTCGTCCTCCTCCTCTAGTGCCATGTCCTCCTCTTCCTCGTGTGGCAACCATGACAGATGGTTCCACTAGTTCATGCACTTCTTGAGTTTGAGGTACCGGGACACGCAGAAGGCGAGTGGTTAATGTTTTCATAGAGGGGACCTCATGACTAGTTAGAAGTTGATCTCTGAGATGACGGGATGTAGGGCACGAAGGATCAAGACCATGTAAAATTTGTCTAGTTTCTTTTTGATATCCTCTAATGGATCTACTTCCAAAAACATCCTAAGTTCTTCGACAGCAGATTGGGCTTCAGCCATGAAGGACACCATAACATGGTCTGCCATTTTAAGAGATGCAAACTTGTTCGTAGTGTCATAGAGACATTGAATATCGTTGGCATAAATGATTTGGGCTTTCTTCCAAAAGGAGTGACAAGTTTTGAAAGCCCTCAAAGATACAAGAAGTTTGGGTTCCACAGCTGGAAATCTGCTTGTTTCCACTGATCAGCTTTTTCAGTCTTTTTCAGTAGGCACATGGCTTCCATCTCGCTCAAGGTGGTCATAATGCCCTTGGCCAAGGAACCACATTTCAACAGCAGCAGACCATGATAGATAATTTTTTCCATTTAGCTTCTCGGAGGTAATTGATGGACTTCCGGAGAAGGAAAGAGTACGACCAGACGCCATTTTTTTAAGAAGACGAATGGTACTAGCGAGGAACAAGAAAACCCTAAGGGTTTAGACGAAGGAAACTGTGACAATGATGGACGACGATGGCCGGCGGCGACGGTGGCCGGCGACGGACGACGGTGGCCGGTGGCTGGCGGCGGGAAGCGGCGGACGGTGGCGTGCGACAAAGAACTATGGCGCCGGACAGATATATATTACGAGAACTTAAGATTGAAACTGTAAAATAATTCTAGAGGGCTTAATTGATCCCTCTCACAATCTTCTATACATAAGAATAAATATAATCATGATAAATAGATAATGCTAGACACAGTATAATAATGATAAATAGGGTAACCCTTGAAACACTGTAATGATGATAAAATAGGATAAATATCCTAACAAAACGAATTCTTAAATTCTAAATTTAAACGTGCTCAACAATAAAATTCACAAACTCACTTAGTCCAGCATCTTTATTCATCATGCACATGTATACAAAAGTACAAATCATACAAATCAACTGAGAGATGATTAGGCTACTGCGAAGCATCACCAATTTTTGAAAAAGATGAAGTTCAAATTGATGAAAGCAGGAAGAAACTAGAGCGAAAACATAGAGAAAGAGAAGGTTTACATAATGAAAAATGAGAAAAATGGGTCTTACAATTTGTTCCAATTGAACATGTTATTAGTCGCAAGAATGTTTTTTATTACACAATTTATATATAAATTTAAAATGTTTTTAGAATTGAATTCATCACAAAATTTAGCTATAAAATTGCATTTAATGAAAGCATATAATGAGCCTAATCAAACTTGCATGAATTAAATTTACTGACGCTGTTAAACAACAAGAACCAAAACTAATTTTAAAAATAGAATGGCATTAAAGTTTCGATCAAGAACCATTTTCAATTTTACAAAAGAAACATTTTTTCTTTTACTTGTGTGTGTATGTGTTACTTGTGCGTGTTACTTGTGTGTGTTACCTGTGTGTGTTACTTATGTGTGTTACTTATGTGTGTGTTGTGAAACATAGGAAAATAGTTCCTGATTTCCTGACTTATACTTCCATGATTAACGGGCTCGGTGAAGCTGGAAACGTTGTGGAAGCACGCCAACTGTTTAAGTGAAATGTTTAGTTGGAACAAGATGCTTACATTTAATGTGTCACTTATACAAGCTGGAATGGTTGAGAAAGGTTTGACTCCTAATGTTGTCACTTATACAACATTGGTTGATGGCCTGTGTAAACGTGGTGAGGTAGATATAGCAAATGAACTTCTTCTTGAAATGTCTGAGAAGGGCCTTCAACCAAATGTCTGCACATATATTGCACTAATCAATGGTCTTTGTAAGGTAGGAAATATAGAGCAAGCCATAAAAATTATGGAAGAAATGGATCTGACGGGGTTTTATCCTGACACTATTACATATACACTCTGGACGCTTATTGTAAGATGGGTGAAATGGCCAAGGCTCATGAAATGTTGTGGGTTATGCTTGGTAAAAGACTTAAGCCTACAATTGTTACATTCAATGTGCTAATGAATGGGTTTTGAATGTCAGGGATGTTCGAAGATGGTGAAAGACTAATTAAATGGATGTTCGAAAAAGGTATAAGGCCGAATGCCACAACAGTCAATTTTCTCTTGAAGCAGTACTGTATTAGAAAACATGTGTGCTACAACAAAGATTTATAAGAGGATGTATGCTCAAGGAGTGATGCCTGACAATAATACCTATAATATTTTGATTAAGGGGCACTGTAAAGCTAGAAATAGGAAAGAGGCATGGTTTTTGCATAATGAAATGGTTGAAGAGCGATTTAGTCTAACTGTTGCTTCCTATGATGCTCTTATAAAGGGTTTCTGTAAGAGGAAATTTGTGCAGGCTAAGAAGCTATTTGAGATGAAACTCAAGGCTTTGTTGTAGAAAAAGAGATATATATGATATTTTTCTTGATGTAAACTATGAAGAGCGGAACTGGGAAAATACTATTGAGATTTGTGATGAACCAATAGAGAAATGTCTTGTTAAGAGAACTTAGTTGACTTTTGCATATGCCACTTTAAGATGGAATTATCAGGGAGTAATTATGTGTTGCTCCTTCTTTTTTGGTAGTTCCACTGAAAGTAACTTGCGTATGATGACACCAATTACTCTCATGATTAGAGGAGTGGCATTGGACTTCCAGATATTTTCCAATTCCAAAATATTGAAACAGAACAATACAATAGCGCACACATACACGAGGGAGTTTTACATTCTCAAATTCCATAGAAAACTTCAAGATTTTTTAGGGTAATATTGGGATTGTGCATAGGCCCAAATCCCTTTACCCTAATAAGTTTATGCAACAAATGTAATAGAGATTTCTTCGAATGTGATAGAGATTTTTAGTAGAAGAATGTAAATAGAGATTTTAAATAGAAGTAATTCTTGCAGCTTTCTGTATTCCTATTATAGCTTTCCTATCCTTTAAGACCTATTATAGAGAACTGTGATGAATAATGAAAAATTGATGATTTACCTCAGAGTTGATGTACTGCTAAAATTTGAAATTCTTTCAAAGGAATTGTTAATAATCATTTATTGCTAAGACTTGTTTTCATGAAAAATCATTACTTCTATATATATATATATATATATATATATATATATATAAAACTAATTAAATAGGTTTAAATAATTTAAACGGTAAGAAGGCTATATATAAAACTAATTAAATAGGATTAAATAATTTAAACGGTAAAAGGGCTGTATATAAAACTAATTAAATAGGATTAAATAATTTAAACGGTAAAAAGGATATATATATATATAGCCCTATTTAAATTATTTACCGTTTAAATTATTTAATCCTATTTAATTAGTTTTATATATAGCCCTTTTACCGTTTAAATTATTTAATCCTATTTAATTAGTTTTATACATTAGTTTTATATATATATATATATATATATATATATATATTTTGCCGTATTTAATTAGTTTTATATAATTTTTTTTTTTAAATTCAAACACTTAAACCTCAACAGTTTTCATTCCTCTCTTCAATTCTTGGGATCCTCACAAAGTCCATTCTCTCTCTTCTCCTCCCTCTCATATTTACTCACTCTCACACACAACTATCATTAGTGTAATGGAAGAATAGATCAACCAGCAAGTGAGTGGAAATCGGTGATCAACAGCAAGTGAGTGTGGAAGTGATGATCAACCAGCAAGTGATGATTTCAAAATGGATAAGATACAGCTACATTTTATTTAAGTAATGGTTTATATAATTATTCTTATTATGTTTTCAAGATTGGTCTATGTTAATTCCCTGGAATTAAATTCAAAGAAACTTTGAGTATATCTTTTTCTAGTTATTATTCTTTTTCAAGAATTTATTAACCTTTTCTTTTCCTCTTTAACATGCAAATTCATAAATACACTTCTTTATTTTTATCTTTCCTTCACAATTTATCTCCAGTTACTCTTATTTCACACTTCTAATTTATTTTTCTCTTCTCCTCGTCTCCTTTCGTAATTTATTTCTTTTAATTTATGCATTTTCTTGGAAATCTTGAGTTTATTACTTTAGGTTTTTGCAGTTTAGACTTCTAATTTATTTTCTTGCACTTCTATTTCATTCTATTACGTGTCTAAACTTCTTGCAATTTAGAAATTCTATTGGATTTGGCTGCAGGTGCGGTGAGGAGCAATAAATAAAAAGCAAACAAAAAAAATTCGAGTTAGTAGTGTGCCTTGAATTTTATGACTAGTTATCAATTCTTGATCTTAGGATTGGATTGTTGAAAAGAATAAATCAGGAATGAGAAGTGGAATAAATATTTATGTTCTTCAGGCAAGTTTATTTTTAAAGCACATTTATTTTTCTTTATAACTGTTCTGTTTATATTATGTTGCTCGCGTCAGTTTAATTCCTAAGATATGACAAATATGTATTACATGTGTTAGAAATTTCGGATTATTCATTCTAACTAATTGACTTTTTAACTGTCTATTTTGGTTTATTTTTATCTGTTTATAACATTAGCATGTTGAAATTTTAGTTGTTTATTGTGCCGCTACAGCCTTTTTGATGATGTTGCCTCTTTGCAGTTCCAACCTCCTTTCATGTGCAGTTCCTTTGGTTTAGCCTTCTTCTCTGTGTTGTACCATCTTCAAGACAGGTAACATTGACTCTTTTGCCACAATCCTTTTCAACGACATGCCTTTTTGTAATGTTAGATTAGATTGAAAGTTTTTCCTTTTTTATTACAATAAGCTTTCAGGGATTGAGCTTGGTTACAAATTTTGGTATCTCTTAAGATTCCTTTTATTCACAATGAAAATTTATGATGCTTATATGAGTTATTGCTTACAAATATGTTTTTGAGCCTTGGATAGAGTTGACAGCCTACAGATATATTGTTTTATGCACACTATAAAACTGGGATGATAATGTCCCTCAAGTTTTAAATCTGAATCCGAGTAAATATTGTACTTCAAATTTTGTTATCTGCTGTTGGTCGAAAAGCCCAAATGAAATTTTGTTATCCTAAATTGAGTTGATTGAGTGTGGTTTAAGATTTTTGTTCTTTGTAAATATTGCACATCCATTTGCCAAATTTGTCCTGTTAAAATATGTCTTGAAGCCTTATGTATTGATCACGAGTAACAAAGATTATTTCTGAGCTTGTATGGATTTGATAGCCTACAAATATATTGTTTTTTGCAAACTATAAACATGAGATAATAAATCTCCTCCAATTTTAAACCTTGGGTTTGATATTGTGCCTCCAATTTTAAAAGTCATATAAATTGAGTTCATATTGTTCCTTCAATTTTGAAAGTCCTGCAACTTAATTTGATATCGTGCCTCCAATTTTGGAAGCCTTAAAAAATTAGTTCTATTCCCAATGAAAATTTCAAATGCTTATATATGAGCTGTTTGAAAGATGAATGCTTTATTATATGTGTGACTATTTCTTGCGTCCGAATGATATTAGATTACCAGTAGAATATTGGTTGTGTAACGGTGTGCGACCACATTCAGACTATGGGAGCACGATTTGAATTATTTAACCATAGTCAAGACATTGAATGATTATATGAGTTAATATTTTGAATCAATTTGTCATATGAGATTTTGTAATTATCACAGGAAACAATGACAGTTTGTGAGCCTCATTTTGTTTGGAATTGACGAATTGCAAGTGGGTTTTATATTGAATTTATAGGGGACAAAGATTGGTTTTGAGCTTTGAATGAATTTGACAACTTGCAGATATATTTGTCTATGCCCTCAATAAATCTAAGCTGATGGTGTGACTTCAATTTTGAAAACCCTATAACCTGAGGTGGGCATACACCCTAAATGGAACGTTCAAATAACACTTTGATTTTTTTGGTTCATAGTGCTAGTTCAATAACATTTTATTTTGAGTTGTCCCTCCTGGAATTCTTGAATTGCACTTTGATTTTCTTGATTCATTGTGCAAATTCCATGACTATATTTTTTAGTTGTTCCATCATAAATAAAGTTGTGAAGTGCACTTTGACTTTCTTTGTTCACAATAGAAAATTTTGTGTTGCCCCTTGTTATTCGGACAGTTGCTGAATTCTTTGTGTGTGTTTTGATGGTTTGTTGAGTCAAAGTGGAAGAATTCCGGATTATGATTTGACTTCATATTTATTTATTTTTGTAAATATGAGTTGGTTGTGCATCCTTTTGAACATGGAGGATGATTATAAACTGGTGTTGGATTTCTTTAACTAGATGTGCCTACGATGGGACCCTTGTTTGGAAGTCCTTTGCATTTGTTCAGATTGTTATGGCTTCTAAGTACTTGAGACTGGCTCACAGGCTGAATATTTTGAGTTTTGGGAAAATCCTGATTTGTATGTTGGTAACTAGTTTGCTCAATTTACTGAGAGGTCGATTTATAGTTACAATGACTCGAGGTCCATTTGGAATTCTCGAATTGCACTTTGATTTTCTTGTTTCACTATGCAAATTCGATATGGTATACTTTGAGTTGTCCCATCATAAATAGATTTGTCCAATTGCAAGATAGTGGATGAGTTAACACTTTGAGTCGTTTTTTGCGATGACAATTTTTAATTATCACTGGAAAAAATGGCGGTTTGTGGCCTCATTTTGTGTGGAATTGACTGATTATAATTGGGCTTTATATTGAATTTATGGGTAACAATGATTGCTTTTGAGCTTTGTATGAATTTGACAGTATACAAATATATTGTTATATTCACTCTATATATCTGAGTTGATGGTGTGGCTGCAATTTTGAACTCCCTATAACATAAGGTGGGCATACACCCTAAATAGAACTGTCAAATTGCACTTTGATTTTTTTGATTCATAGTGCAAGTTCTATAAGGGTATATTTGAGTTGTCCCAAATGGAATTCTCGAATTGCACTTTGATTTTCTTGTATCACTGTGCAAATTCCATATGGGTATATTTTGAGTTGTCCCGTCATAAATAGATTTGTAAAAGTGCAACATAGTGGATGAGTATATCTGAGCTCTTTGAATCGTTTTCTGCTATGAATATTTTAATTATAACAGGAAACAAAGATGGTTTGTGAGCCTTAATCTTGTGTGGAATTGACGGATTATAATTGGGCTTTATATTGAACTTATGGGTAACAAATATTGCTTTTGAGCTCTGTATGAATTTGACAGCTTATAGATATTTTGTTTTATTCGCTCTACAAATCTGAGTTTATGGTGTGGCTGCAATTTGGAGAGTATTATAACTACAGGTGGACATACACCCTAAATGGAACGGTCAAATAACACTTTGATTTTATAATTCATAGTGCAATTTCAACAATAGTATATTTTGAGTGGTCCCACCTGGAATTCTCAAATTGCACTTTGATTTTCTTGTTTCACTGTGCAAATTCCATGTGGGTATA